ACATGTCACATTAGGTGACTCCGGCTGACATATTATTTTATATTGATTCAAAGCACCTGGCTTACACATTTCATTGTTGAGACACCTTGACATGGCATACTTTGATTTTCACTGCTCTTAAGCATGATTTTTATATACATATGTAGTATTATTTTCTGGAAACTATACAGGTTTTACAGCGAGGGGTTATAACGTTTCCACAAGGTTTTTATTGAAACTTTATTTTCAAGCCCACTCACCCTTATTTTTCGCCCCTCCAGGTTTTAGCTGCTGAAAGTTCGTATCGACAAGGATTCTTGGCGAATCTCAGTATAGGTGGCTACCTTTGAGGGTATGATCTTTACCCACACTACTGTACTTTACTTATGCTCTGACGTCGCATATGAAATGGGTTCATTCCCGCTCACAGCGTACTCTAATATTTAGGCACTTTTAGGTTTAAATTTATTCACATTTTCCACATCACTATACTTTATGGCTTCGTCACCTTCCAGGTGTCGGCCAATATAGCTCGATTCGGAGTCCTAGTGGACATTTCGGGTCGGGGTGTGTCATTCGAAAACTAACAATACAATTTTTTAATTTTGTATTGAAAAGATATAGACACATCTGGTTGAGAAGCAGCACTGCAGGGTGAATGTGTGTGGCAGGTTCGTACCAGCAGTTGTGATGATAAAAGGGCTATGGGTACTACCTTAGACCAAAAATGGCGGAGTTAAAATTCTCCTAGAGTTGGATGGCATCCTTGAACAAATGGAGTAAAGGGCTATGGTTACTACTTGTAGACCACACCAATTATGTTTTTACTAGTAGTTTGCAACAATTCAAATGTCCTTTTTTTGGTACTTGAATTCAACATTCAACTTCAACATGCATGTAACCAAAATAAAATAGGGTAAGTAACAAAAACAAAAGCAAAAGCAAAAGCAAAAAAAATAAGTTACAAACTATAATTCCAAAATAAAGTAAATTCCAAGCCAAAAGCAAAAAGAAAAGCTTAAATATATACTAGCCTACACACTTTGTGTGTATGAACACATTTTTTTAGAAAATGAGAAAGAGAGGGAGAGGGAGTGACGAAGAACGTGGGGGGAGTGAGAGGTTTTTTTTATTTTATTTTAATATTGAAGGCATTTTAACATCACTTGTATGTGAGACTTCAATAAAAAACAGTAAAATTTGAACATGTGAAATTACATTATTGCTCATCATTTTTTTTTTGTGTGATAGAAGACTAATTTGTCTTTTCACCCTCTTTTGGTTGACAAAGAGGGTTTCATTAATTAGTAGATATATATATCACCCATTTTTACTTCTCACACACCATTTGTTAATTTTCTGTCCATTGATCTTCTTCAATTCATCCGATTCGACGGTCGAAAATTAGAAGGGCCTGTGAGAAGTAAAAAAGAGTGTGGATATCACACCTCTATATATATATAATATTTATTTTCGGTTCGGTATGGGATTACCGAAACATTGAGAAGGCAATACCAATTTCCGTACCGAAATTTCGAGATTGGTTTGGTATGTCATCCCAAAAATTTCAGAAATTTTGGTTTGGAACTTTTTTGGTTTAAGATCGGAATTTGTTTGGTTTGGTTTGGAATTTTCGAAAAATTTTCCAGCCCCTACCTGGTATAATGTGGCCTTTTAAAATGTGATATCTCTAACATTACTTAGTAGGTACTCCAGTATGATTTAACTCGTCACTTGAAATCCAGAAATTTATGGTTCTGCTGAAGCAACCATTCCATGCAAAATAAATAAGAAATTAAAGGATAAGACCCCATTTGCAGTTCTTCCGCTGTCCGGGACAGTTGGCAAGTGGCCCCATGTATTTATGTGGTTGGTGAGCACAATTACACATGGTAAAAGGTTCGTACTTGGGAAAAGACCAAGACCCCGTTGACCATTATAAATCTAACGACTTGCCTAAAGGCCATATATGCTTGATCTTAAATTTCAGTTGGATTTGCTGCATGATATCTTATTTGCATATTTCCAAAACTATAGCTAACCTACTTATACTCCATCTTGTAGCAGTTGTAGTTAATATATGTACTTTGTCGTAATTTCAAGAAACTCTTTATTTGGGATCATTCAGAGCTCAGAGGATCTTGTACCATCATAACTTAGTAAACTTAAGTTATGATGGATTTTGATGAACCAATTCAAAAAATAGAGAGCTCCGATGACGAGTCAATCAACTTTACAAGGTTTCATATTTCTTTTAATATCTCTAACAGGTTTTTTTTTCTTTTAAAATTAAAACAAAGGTTTTTTTTTTTTTTTTAGGGTTTTAAAATTAAAATTCTAATGACCCATTGACTGTTGATAGTTGACCGTCAACGTTGACTTTTGTTGACTTTTTTCGGGTTTTGGCTCGGGACCTCTCTTAAGGTTTTTCGATGTCCCAATTCCATTTTTTACATATGTTTAGTGAAATTCAAGTGTTTTAACATAGTTTCGGAGTTGATCACCACTTGAATATGCAGTTGGTGGAGATTTGACCGTTGGATCGTGATGATATTTTAGTATGTTGTTCTAGAACTATAATGAGGATTTGGGAACTTACGGATCGGAATTTTAATGTGCGGATCTTCTGTATCGAGTTACGTAGGATTGTGGACCATATCGTTGACCTTTGACCGTCAGTTGACTTTTGGTCAATCGGTCCCAAATCATTCTGGAATGTCCTAGATGACGTGTACAAGTTACGATTACGTGTTTTATCGATAAAATTCTGAGATGTGATTTGATATTTGTTCTAGTCGATGATCGTTTGTGACGCCTCGATATTCATGCTAGGGAGTCGTAGCTCGACCTCCAGGTGAGTGACTTTAATATATGCGATATGGTCATTACCCTGATTTCTTGTATTAGTATCCTTTGTGGATATGACTTGGTTTTATAAATACATTTTCTATAAAATTGTTATTTTTATATTTAGCCATCGATCTATTTTTATTAAATGTCATTTGACTTGTGTATTGGAATATTTGTGAAATGAGATTTGAAATGCATGGTAAATTGTTTGTGAAATGTGAGGGCTAGTAGTGGACCGTTAACCATGATCATGGGGATTTGTTTGCTTCGATATTGTTTCATTTCTCGCTTCGTTGATTTGTTCTAAATTTAGTACTTGTGTTTTGTTTCATTTTGTTAAGCCTTTCTAAATTGGGAACTTGATTCATGTCTTGTTTCTTCAAGCCATTGTTATGTTTTTTGGACTTCTGCTCGGTTTCGTTGAGTGGTCAAGTTCTCTGCTCCGTCTAGATTCTGTTGAGTGGTCTGAAATCCCTCATACTTCGCGATTATGTTTAGTGGTCTAAAATCGTATCCTGCTTTGGATTTCATTGAGAGGTCTGATATCTGTTGTACTCCGCAATTCCATTGAGTGGTCCAGAATTGTATCCACTCGGATTCATTTGAGAGGTCTGGAGACCCTTCTACTTTGTGATTCTGTTGAGTGGTCAGGAATCGTATACTGGTTGGATTCCATTGAGTAGTCCGGAATCCCTCTTTGTATTTTGGTTTAGTTGAGTGGTCCAGAACCCAATGTTGTTAGATTTCATTGAGTGGTCCGAAATCGTATTCATTGACTTCATTGATTTGGTGATTCCTTGGATTTAGTTTGGATTGAGAAAACTTCAGAGACGTAGGCTTCAGTCAAACCGTGTTGCTCTAGCCTTGCATTTTGGTGTATCATATGAGATATTGATTGTGAACCTTTGTGATTTGTTTTAGACGGGCAGACGGGTGTTTGTGTGACTTCTTCAGGAAATTCAGTGGCTTGATTATGATTTCATAAAATACGATTTTATATTTGATGTTTATAAACCGTGATCGATGGATGGTTTTTATTTTTATCACATGCGTTGCATTATTGTCACTCACACGAGCTTGCGGCTTATCCGGGTGGTTGTTTGCCTGCTGCACCATTCCCACAGTGTAGGGGGCGATTGTGCAAGTTTAATGGATACGAGGAGCTTTGGGGTGGCAAACAGAGTTCAGAGAGCTTGGAGTGATTAGGTTACCCCCATATCTTTCTTTGTACTTTCTTTGGACTTTCTTTTGGGAGCCTATGGGCATGTGTTGGTCCTATGGTAAATATTCTTAATTTCAATTCAATATTTCAGTTTGTATTCCTGAGATTCCCCTACAATCTTCCATCATGTGTCAATTTCGGGCGTATATTGGGATCGGGCGTGACATAGTTTTGCAAATCCAGCCGTTGAATGAGTTGTCCTATTTCAAATATTGTTTTAATATATTGCTCCAATGATTTCTGCTGTTCTTTTGCTTCAAATCTCAAGTCTAGTACCTACGCATGGGAAACGATCTTTGTAATTTTTATTTCGATCAGTGGCGTGATACTATTCATATATCTGCTTGGACATTTGCAGGTCGGTGATGAGTTATATTTTGTATCTCTGTTCTCTTTTGAGTAGTTTCTACATATATGCATGTAAATTTGACGATCTAATAAACTCAAGTCCAAACCTCCATGTTGTGGAGTAGACATATATGCAGGCAACTAGCAGAACATATAGAATATGGCAGAGGTAGAAAGCCATATTTCCACAAATAGTTTTCACTAGCAATTAGTGCCCGCGCGTTGCTGCAAGTTTTTAAATCATATAATGCATGTCATAAGTTTTAATTGGAAATGTACTATGTACACACATGTGATTGATGTCTCATTGTTTATTAACAATAGGCAATACTATATTTACATACACGTGGAATGTAAGAAGGAAATTATTGACCTTTTGTTCTAAATAAAAAAGAACACTAAATCTAAAATAAAATTTCAAAATACCTTTCCAAGCAGTTGAACCTCAAGAAAAATGCTAATTCTAAAATAAAAATTCAATTTATATTACCAGTGTGATTACCTTGTAACAACTTGTCCATTGTGATAAAAAGCACCCAATTTCTCATTTTGTCCCCAATTTCCATCACTTCAATTGCTCCTTTTGCAGATTTTTTTTTTCTTTCTTCTAGTGAAGCCAACGTTTTACCTTACACTTTGGTTCAGCCTCATCTAGATAATGTAAATATAAATTTATAACATATACATATAACATTCGTGCCATCTATTTATTTATAACATATACTAACAATACTAAATGCACACATTGTAAATAGTATTCTACATAAATACTAACCACACAATGCAAAAATACTCGCTGACAGCACAAAAAAAAACCCGATTGCTCATCTAGATAATTTAAATACAAAAAATCAACTTCACACCAAATACAACAGACCTCTCTCTCCTTTACAATTATGAAAGAAATGAATATAAAAATTTGGTTATGCCAACATACTTCTTACAAATTATATTCATTTCAAAGAAGAACTAAACAAAAAATGCACCTAAGAGCTCACTGAAGTACCAAATTTGAACAATTTGGGCAATTGGGTATCCTCAAAACAATTCAAAGAGCAATAATTGAGCACGAAAGCAGCAGAAAAACAAAAGAAAGACCAAAACTAAGGGGATATCGAGATTGAAAAATGTAGTAGATAACATGATCAAGAAAGGTGTTTTTCACTGAGAAGATCCAAAAGGACAGTTCTAAAGCTGAACAAAATAGTTTCTAGTCACATTATTAATTAAACTGAGAATTTAGTCTTAGTGATGGATTTGCAGTGCATAGAGTTCATTTTGCAAACTTCAAAATTGCATTGAGACTTAAGTCTTGGTGTAAAGCACATGATAGCAATAATTGGTACATGGATCTCAACTCATCATTCTCAAGTATTCTTAATCTCGCAGGATGAGGGTATTGTAGCAATATTCAGCAGATTATACAATATAACTCTTTATTAATATAACTTTAATAATTGACTTGGTCAGAATTCAGTTTATCCCTCAGCAAGGTGTATAAAAAATGGTATAATAAATAATCCCTCAACAAGGTGTATACAAATTGGTATAATAAATAATAATTATGAATAAGGAAAATACGCAATTACCATTTCTTAGATATTCAGGACGTGTGAGCAAGATTAGTGTTGTAACTTTTTCCATTCCTTCCGTTTTTTATCAATCCAAAACATGAAAGCCGAGGATTGCCATTCCTACAACACCATCCATGAAATTCCCACTTTGATCTCATATAAATCCATGTAGTTTTCAAATAAAAAGTCTTAACATAGAACAAAATATGTCTACTTATAAAAAAAAGGTCCACAATTATACGTGATTAAAATTATTTCACTTCTTGTAAAAATTGAATATCTAAATAAACAAATTTGGGAAAGGAAATTGGAGACATCACCTCATCAAAGAGAACTGATATGGAATTTACCACCTGCAACAGTAGAGATAAAAACACACAAAATACTTGCAAGAGAACAAGGTTGTTGTAGTATTAACGGCTTAAGCAAGGTTGTTTTCCACAGAGATTGAATGAATAATATGTATTTAAACTAATTCTTAGCTAATTATTTGAAAGGGCCTTTAAATCCAGGTCCAAAAACATAGAGTGTTTTTAAGAGTGAGTCCAATTATCTAATCAGATGTTTTTATTTCTTTTATACTCATTTTATATTTTCTAAAAATATTAAAAATCAATTAAAATCTTTTAATATTATGCATTTTCCAACTCCAAAATATATACTAACATAAATATATCTACAAAACATTCTACCCTAACTTAAGTAGCAAATATATCAATGTATATTATACCTATAAGTGAGATATGAAACCTAACTAAAAGGTAGAAAAAAAAACATAATATACCTACAAGCAAGACAATTGCTTGTAAAATGCAAATTGATTGCCCATTCCCATGCAATCCCAGCTGCTACCTTGTAAATCTCACTTCATTATAGAACCAACTACAAAATTTTGCCCGCACTTTGTTGCGGGGTTAAAAATCATATGAAAAATTATGTTTGAAATGTATGAAAGATTGTATTACAAAATATTATGCTATTTTCATGAAAAGATTAGATCGATACAATCCACATACAAAAGATGATGTACATGCAAAAACATTAGACTGAAGAGAGAGGGGAATCAACGAGAATGAAGAAACAACAACAAAGCCTTTTCCTACTAAGTGTGGTCGGCTGTGGGAGGATGCAACACGAGGACTTCCCAGGAGGTCACTCGTTCTAGTACTACTCTCGCCCAAACATAATCGGTAAACAGACTGAATTGCACATATTGTGGAGAAAGAGAGAAATCAAACTGAGAAAATTCCAAGAACGTTCTTTTCTTTATCGGTGACCTGAAAATTTCTTTTAAAACATTTTCACATGCTTGACATTATATCATGCTAATATCATAGATCACAAAACTTGAGATAGTTTCATGTTCAAATGGGAACGTGGATGTTATTGATCATAGTTTTAAAGAAAAGTAACAGGACATGAGAGTCTTATACTGTCCTTTGTTTTGTCCTACTAAACAAATAAATTTAACGGAAAAAAATCAAGACCTGTAAGATTCTCCTGAAGCCGTTTTGAATTCTTTGAAATGTGACTATCCCACCACCAAGCATATAACCGTCTGGACTCGGAATGTAACATGGTTGCCATCACTCCGGTGCAGCACAATAATAGAACTTGTTTTGAGTTGGGAAAGGCCAGATTATCAGTTCAAGGAACTTCCACCCTCAATATTCCAGAAAAAGATTTGCAGTTCTCTCTCTCACCTTCCACCCGTGCACCAAAATCATCAAAGAAAATATAGAGATCGTTGGATTGGCATAAAGTTCACACCAGCAAGAAGATATCAAGACAAAACAAACAATACGAAATTGCATGATACCTCCTCTATTAGACAAATACAATTGATCCAAGGAGATAAGTAACCACTAAGCAAGAAAACATCATTAAAAACAAAAGCAATGTTGAAAATGAAGTTTTCTTCATTATATGAGAGAGAGAAAAAAAATCAGGTATCCATAAATTTACCCCAATAAAACTCAGTACACAGCAGCTTTTTTTTAATTTTATAAAATTCATAAAACAAAAAGCCAACTAAAGCACATACCACCTCAATGATCACATATAGAAAAGAGTTCATGAGAAAATGAACAAATCAAAGATGGGTGTTTATGTAAATCAGTTCCAATCGGCAAGTGAACATACAAATAAAAGGAACATCATAAATACATTAGTTTTGAGCAGATGGGTCTACATAAAATCTGCAAGAGCTTCAACCTTTATGAAACCAGAAGATTAAAACCTTACTCAATGAATGATTTAAGAATATTATCAACTCATACAATTCAATTGCAATCACAATGGTTCCCTGAAACAATTTCATCTCATCTTCAAGTGAACTGAGTAAAGATCAAATTATTCAAGGGAAATGAGTGAAAAGTACGAGGTGTTTAACGTTTACCTTCATGAAGACCAGGTCTCCCATATGCATCTACCATGATACTATATGAAGCTCTATCGCGTTCACATCCTATGTGCTGCATTAGAGAAAAAAAATTCCGCAGCCCCATAAGGAAACCCTGCACAACTGTTGGGGAGCAAAATCTTATAGAAGTTCGGATATATAGCGCTGCATATCATACAATGGAAGTTTTGTACATTTATACTTGATCAAACCGCTCAAATTAAACTACAGAATCCATCAGAGACTAAACTATAAGCTTCCATAAGGGCATAGTACGCATACACATCAGGCTCGTGCCCTGCTTCTTGCATCTGCTAAAAATTTTCCTCCGCTTTCTCACAAAGTCCTTCCCTTGCAAATGCATTTACCAAAGCCGAATACATGCATATGTTGGGTCTACATTTCTGAATTTTCATTTCATGAAACAGCTTTAGAGCCATAAAAGATTTCCTTTCCTGCAGACCATGAGGAGATTTCTGTCGTACCGTTTAATAAGTGAATGACATCTGATGCTGTGAAACTTAATCAGCATAGGGTCATAGAAAAGCATAGGACTTAAACTCACAGAAACTACAACAAAATGCAGCAAGGCTCACCTTTCCGTATAAATCGTATATGGTTCTGACAATTAGTAGTTTATAGTTCAATATTTGATCATACACAGATGTTCTAACTTGGGTTGTGGAAGACTATACGTAGGCTCTGCTGGCGATATCGCAGACTGAACAATTATATTTGTATGCTTTATCAAATCACAGATATAAACATTGCCTAATGCAAGAAACTAAAAACCGAGGTCCTGCCTTCGATTTTTCCTTCTGCCTAAGCGTGTTAGCTAACAATTCCTGTCTTCAATTTTTTCTTCTGTCTAAGCGTGTTAGCTAACAATTTACCAAAGGACTCGAAATATAATATATAAAAAAGACACAGAAATTTACTCACTTGTTGCCCTTAATCTTGAACCAGCACAGTTCTTGTGGGCGGCAGCCAAATCATCCTTGTAAGAACAACCCAATTCAATCGGAGCCCCGAATTCGTGGCTGTTACTCTCCAAACCCAGATGACAAATCCGACAATCTCTCTATCTACTCTATCCAAATGAACTGTAAAAAATAAAAAATAAAGTAAAAAATAAATTATGAATTAAATTAAATAAAATTAAACTTCTCACCTCCACCTCCAGCAGAGCCTTCCCAGATTTCAGCATTAAAACAAAATAATAATAAAATAATTAAATGGGTTTTCATCTCCGTAACCCATAAACCCTGAAAACCAAAAACCCACAAATCTGCTCTGCCTGAGGAGGCATCCGAGATTCAAATCGGAGAATCGCACAGAAGGTATTGGAGATTATCACATACCGACTTTGAAGAGATAGGCCTCGGCGGTGGGATAGCCGTCGCTCCCTACACTGTGAACGGAGGTGGCAAGGAAATCAATCCAAAAGTCGGGATCGATGATGTTCTCTCAGTCGACGGCGGCGGAGTGGCGAGTTGCGATGTGGACTCAGGCCTCTCGGCCTCTGGGTTTTATAGGTCATCCACTCGAAGTTGTCCTTGCGAAGCCTCGGACTGAGAAGAAACCTGATGGGGCTTATTCGTACAATGCCGGGCCTCATGCAAACCACCTTGCACACCCACGGTATGGTGGTGGTTTTGGCGGAAATCCATATCCATATGGCTCTGTGGGGGCTGGATATGGTGTTGCTGAAGGCTTTCAGCGGGTACATCACTGAATTTACATTGGTCCTCTTATGTCTTGGTAATCTAATTTCGTCTAACGGGTTTTGTACCTGAACAGCCAATGATATATGGTGGAGGGCCAATGCCAGCAGGCACATGGTGCCTATGGTTTTATCGGATGGTCGAATTGGCCATGTTCTGTAAGTTGACATTTGTTCTCAGGGGGAGGTCCTTTAGAATAAAAATTGAAAAAGGTGAGGGTTGAGAGAGATGGAGAGTTGGGAGAAAGCGAGAGTCTGAAAGAGAATGAAAGAGAAGGGGTTAGAAAGATGAGGGGAAAACAGAGATGACGGGGAAATCAAGGGATGGGATTTCCAATCCCTGAAATCACTCTCCCTACCCTCCAACCCCTATCTGGGTCTGCAAACCTACCCACCCCAATCCAACTGATCCAGACGGACAATGTACATCTGTGCTACATGGGTTTGGGAACAGAGGTAAAACCCTTGCTAACTGTTCTTCAACCCATAGAATAGACTTAAAATATAAGGTTTAAAACCCTCCAAATTATCTCTAATCATTGAGTTAAAATAAGTTTCGAGAGAAAATATATCTTTTAGCTATATTCCCTCTAAAATTTAAGCATATCATGAATTATTCTGGAACCACCAAACTGTTAAATTTTAATTTTTTTTCATTTATAATGCAACTGTTGTGATCAACTGAGATCAAATATAATTGTGAAAAAAAAAAAAGATTTAACAATCCAAAATTAAATCTAACATCTAAATTTTTTTTTTAAAATATGTAAATAAAAAATTCGCTTAAAACTCTATAAATATGTATTTGTATGATTTTGAAATACTTATCCGAATTTAAATATTTTTAGAATAAAATGTTAGTAAAAATATATTAGGATAACCTACGTAAATTTTGTTTTAAACAAAGTTTCCGGAAAAAAAATATATACTAAAATCATTGTTTAATAATCTTGGACTAAAATTTTAAGTCATAACCATTGGAAAAGAAAAACAATTTCCGAGTTATGGTTTAAGATTTTTTGGCTTAAATTTCCAAGCTTTAACACCAAGGGGTTGGAGGTGATTTTAGACCATCTCCAATAGAGAGGGCAAAAGGTTCAAAAACAAAAAAAACAAAAAAATAGTTTGATTGGCCCCAAAACTCATCTTCAACCGATGGTTAGACTATAATTTTGTGGAGCCCACAGACTCTTATTTGGCCAAATGAGCATCGGGCTGGTCAAATGTAGCCTCCCTTTTAGCCTTTTATTTTTTGGGGCCGGCTTCTCAATTGCAATAATTATAGAACATCTAATGGTGATTTAATTATTTTTCTTTTTTAACAAACGATATTATATACACTAAGAGATTATAATTTAATTTAATTAACTAATAAATTTAATGTATAAACTTAAAATAATAAACTATTTAGGGGCTATATTTAGCATATTCGGTTGAAGATGATATAGGAGTATGGCACGACACTGATAACTTAAAAATAATTTTTCGCAAGACTAATTCTAGACGTGACTATATTTAACCATTTCAGTTGAAGTTGGCCTAAAAGACATTGGCTTATGGTCACAAACTTTAGGCTTCTTAGGGTAACATTTTTCATAGGATATTTTAAACGCAACGTGATGAGAAGACCCAAAACTTCCTGCTCATCACAGCATGCAATGTGCAACTATACTGGTTTACAGTCCACAAAAATCCATAGGTGGTTACAAACAACCACTTGAATTAAGAATGGCACAAGCATGCTTAGATACATAGACTTCGACCAACATTAGGTGAATGTCATTTGCCTAAATGTGTGAGGACCAAATTAATATATATATATATATATATATATATATATATATAGACACACACACACACACAAAATTGATCAAATGCTAACAGAATTAAAACAGGAAAAGACAGTTCATGTCTTAAAATATCCTTCTCAATCAGAAATGTCTTCATCTTCCTCTGAATCAGATGATGATTCGGATTCTATTCAAAAAGTTGAACAAGCTTTTCAAAACCTTAAACTCAAAAGAATCACCAATAGGCGAGTCAACCCAACATCTCTTACCAAAAATTGGTATCCCAGGCCAACACCTTAGGATATCCAATTTGAGGAAAGAAATATTCAAAATCAATTCTCAGTCTTTTCTGATAAACTCTATGAATGAAATATAGATGGTTTGTCAGAACAAGAACTTCCCAACAAACTCCAACATATCTCTATAGTTGCTAATAGTTATATTACCAATCATAATCTTAGCCAATCACAAGTTGTCGACCTTTTGGTCACTGGATTTACAGGAATGCTTCATTCCTGGTGGGAGAAACATCTCACAGAGCAATCCAGAAATGAAATAAAAAACACTGTTAAGAAAGATGAAGAAGGAATATCAATCTTTGACGAGCATATTGGACAAGGAGTCCCAGATGCAGCTAATACATTGCTTTTCACAATCATCGAACATTTCATAGGAACACCTAGTAATGTCACCTCTAGGATTCACGACCAACTAAGTAATTTAAGGTGTCTAACCTTAAGTGACTTTAGATGGTATAAAGATGTTTTTATGTCAAGAGTCATGCTCAGATAAGACAGTAACCAACCGTTTTGGAAAGAAAAATTTATAAATGGTTTAAAAAATCTTTTTGCGCCCAAAATTAGAAGTGTCTTAGTTAACGAAGAAAGTATCATACCATATCATAAACTTACTTATGGAAATATTATACTACAAAAGGCTTTAGCCAATCCATATGATCCATATTCATCCATGCCATCACCTTCAACACCCAGAACACCTAGCTTTGCTAAAACATCCCCATATGTCAAGAAAAACTCAATGGAATACCTTTTCAGCATCCACATTATATTGATAAAAAACAACCACCAGAAAAAAATAGCCAAAACACTTTTACCCCCAAATTTCCATCACTTACCAATTGAATCTTTCAAAACACTCAAATATTACCAAGTAATTCTCAGTGAGACAGAAAGCATTGCTATCAAACCCATTTTCAGTACCACCCACGAAAACAAAATACCTTACCATTCCCTCCACATTGGAAGATTTCTTTCCGAACAAGAATGGGGAATCCCCCTTTATCAAACCAAACCATTTCATACCCAACATGTTCTCATTCCCAACAACCATTACAATTACTTTGACTACATCTAAGCCTGAACCAACATATTTCTACACCAAACATCTGACTTTAGTCACTCTTGGTTCATCACATTTGATAAAAATTTAAGGTTAAACTTCCCAGCATGGTTTCCTAAATGATGGTCAACTCATGGTCCAACAGCCAGTTTACTGCCTGAAGATCTCATGCAAGTTTTATCATCTGGTTTCCAAAAAAGATTTGATCGAAGCCGGTTCGACGACAGAATTTCCCTTCTACCGTTGTTCATGGCAAAGTACAAGGTAAATACCGATCAGTCATTTGTTCAATTTTTCTTATTTGTTTATCATAATTGGTATCATGGCATATTTAGCCCAGATGTTTATACTCCTCATCTTATTCCTCTTCCATCTAGTAGCTCTGAAGATAACAATAATTGTGATAGTGATTGCCTGTATTATAATCATATTTAGATTAACCTCAATAGAGAATAGCTTCTGCCCCCATTTGGTATCAGAGCCAAGTGAGTGGTAATTGCATTAGCATCTTCATAATCTGCAAGTCAGGTTCATATTCAATTTTTCAATTTACAGTTTATCTTATATGTCGGTCCTCTAAGTTGTTTGTTTTAACTCCCCAACCAAACAGTAAGACGTCGTCCAAACAATAAGTCTCAGGAGAGGCATGAACGGAGCGCCTAAGCGGGGAAGGAGTTTAGCGAATACGCGAGGAAGGTGAATCAATATAAGTTTTCTGTATTTTGATTGATTGTCTTGTGAACTTCATGAGTAGATTATTTAGATTTAATTCAATGGCTAGCACTAGCTCTAGATCCAATCTAGGAACAATTCCAGATATTGTTAATGAAGAACAAAAACTTGATTTTCAAACAAATGATAGTGTTGACTTTGGAGATTGGAAAATGCCCAAGGTTTCGAGTAAAAATATTTACAAAAAAAAATGGTCAGTAACCTCTTTTAGAAGTGAACATCATGTCAAAACAGTTGAAAAAGCTTATGCTCTTAGTAAAGAACATGAAACTTGTCAATTGTTCTCTTCTGAACAAATTAAGGCACACAAAAAATATGGTCATAACTACATTCATATTGGCTTAGTTCAAATAGCCGTAAAACCCTTAACACGTAGAGGTCTTAACACCTATATTTTGTTATGTCCCCGAGATGCTAGAATCACTAATTTTAGTGATAGTATACATGGAATGATCGAGTCAAGCTTATACAATGAACCTATCCATTTTGATTGTTTTCCAGATCTTACCATAAGTCTTTCAGTTCCCCATATGCTGAAAGCACTCACTCTAAATATCAAGACTTCGGGATATCAAGTTCTTGAAGGAACGCAACCATTGGCCCTAATATACAGAGTATATTATAAAGTCACTGGTACAAACATGAATTTTTAAGCCCTAACTAAGAGTCCTAGAGACCACACTCTTCTAATCCAAACCAACCAATAAAATGCAAACATCAAAGTTCCCAGAACCATTAGGTGGTTAGATATTAGTCTACCTTCAAATTGGTGTTTGATTAATGAAAGCAAACTAGTTGCCATCCAAAACAGTCTAGTTAATTTAGACAACATAGAACAATATTTTGATGGAACTATTAAAATTAATTTTGATCGTCTAACCAGAAGATCTTGTGAGTCCACCCACTGCCATAAATTATTTGCTCCTAGTAGGAATTCTTTTTCTGGATCCATACCAATCGATAGGATAGGTCAAGATCAAGAGTTAATCAATTTAATAGCTAATAGGAAATTAAAGGATGTAGCCTCCAGTTCATCTGTCACTCAGCAAGAATTAATCAATGATTTGATTAACATCAAGCTAAAGTCTGTCGAAACAACCTGTCAGGTTACACATCCCATTTACCAACCCCAAGATCAAGGATAACAAACTTCTCCTACATAATCTGATTTTGATGCACGTCAGATTAATCACCAACTCTTAGTTTTAAACAAACCCTTTAAACCAAATCGGAAAAAGCTCAATGCTGATATTGAAGCTGAAGAAAACATTCCAAGAAGAAGTATTTTTAGAAACAAATATACCCAAGAAGAAAAATTAGAAATTCATAAA